TGTAAGGAGTGTGAAAGATTCAAATGATAAGATATTTAAGAGATTAAGATTTAGTTTTGATCGGTTGGATAGTTTGGAAGTCAAGAATTGTTTTCTTTATTGCTCCTTCTTTCAGGAGGATTATGTGTTTTCTAGAAGGGAGTTAATAGAAAGTTGGATTGATGAAGGATTAATTAATGGCTGGAGAAGTAGAAAAGCAGCTTATGATAGGGGCTATGCCATTATAGATAGGCTTGAAAAAAATTTCTTATTAGAGAAAGATACTTTTTACTCATGTCAATTTCGTACTAGTTTTGGTACATTTGGATTTAGAAGTGCTGGTTCTAAGATGCATGATGTAGTGAGAGACATGGCTATCATAAGCATTGCTCCAGAATTTGGATATATGATAAAAGTTGGTATGAATTTGGTAGAGCTACCAGATGAGCATGGTTGGGTAAAAGATCCCAAGAAGTTGTCTCTAATGGAAAATAACATTTTAAAAGTTCCTCACAGTTTGTCCCCTAAGTGTTCAACCCTTTCAACTTTGATATTATCAAGTAATCCAAATTTGTCAAAGATTCCAGATTCTTCTTTTGAAGAGATGCTTGCTTTGAAGGTTCTTGATCTTTCTAGTACTGCTGTTGAGACTCTACCTAATTCCATCTCCAAATTGAAGAATCTATCTACCCTGCGGTTACAGCTTTGCAAGAAGTTAAAGTACTTGTCTTCCCTGGTAAACCTCAGGGGATTGAAGAAGTTGGACCTACATGGGGCAGGGATTAAGGTGGTCCCTCAAGGCATGGGGATGTTGATAAGTCTTGAATATCTTGATTTGTTGTTTTGTCCAAATTTGAAAGAGATTCCAATAGGAATATTACCTAACCTTTCCAATCTCCAGTATTTGGCAGTCTGTTGTTTGCGAGAAACTACAATAGTGAGAAATTTAGAAGAGGTTGCTAGATTGAAGAAGTTGGAGACTTTGGACTGTCAATTTGATGGCATACAAGAGTTCAACTATTTTGTCAATAAGTTCAAAGATTTCCAAAGTGCTACTGCTTACAGTTTTGTTATTGGGAAAGCAGAAGACATGATTAGATGGAACAAATATGAGCTTGTAATTACTGATTGCGAGATTGGGGAAGAATGTATAGTGCTTCCAAATAACCTTGAAGATTTGTGGATAATTGGGGGTGAAAACGTGAAAAGCAGCTTAAACAAAACAACTCTGTTAGAAAAAGCAAATGAGTTGAGGAGGTGTCATATTAAGGATAGTGAAGAGATAGAGTGCGTGGTTGAGTTGGACTCATCCTCTTCCTCATTGTGTTGTCCAATACTTGATAAGCTTGAACTGTTGGAGATATGCACATCACCTAGATTGTGTGAACTTGTGAGAGTAGAAGGAGTAGTAACACCACTGCACGTCTTTTCTAATCTTAAACAGCTTTATATATGGCAATGTTTTGGAATGAGGAAGTTACTTCCGCTTGAGCTACTGCAGGCCCTCCGAAACTTAGAGAAGATTATAGTTTGGAATTGCACACAAATGGAGGAGATAATAGCTTCATCGGATTTAGATGCATCATCAGATAAATTCATTTTCACTTTTCCTAAGTTAAGGAAATTGTGCTTGTGGTACTTAACCCAATTGAAGAGCATGTGCAGTGCCAAAGGAGTTATAGTTTGTAATTCTATTGAAAAAATTGTAATAAGTGGATGTCCAGAGTTAAAGAGGATCCCTGTGCAGCTACCCCAGCTTGATAATGGCCAACGATCTCCTCCTCCTCATCTCAGAGAAATCAGGATAGGTGAAGAGTCAAAAGAATGGTGGGAATCAGTGGAGTGGGATTCTCCTAACGCAAAGAATCTCCTTCAACCTTTCTTGAAATATTCTGACAGATGGAGGGATTGAGGGTAAGGTGTTGATTGATTTACTACTATTTAATTCTAATTTGAATTTAATTTGATAATATATTACAGTAAGCTGCTAAAAATTTGGGAAATAATTTGTGTAGTGTGGAGTGAAGAGTTGCAAACTGCAAATGCAAAGGGAGTTGTCGAGTAAGCAAATCGAAACTTTCTAGAAATTAAAGTCACGTGCCACCTCTAAAACACGTTCCCATTGACAACGTGTTCCAGTAAAAGCCCTTACTCAATGACAGAAAGATTGGCTGGAAAATTATGTCGAGCTGAAGAATCAGGCATTAAAGAAAGTGTCAGACATCCAAACACAAGGTATTTTGACTTGATTATTCCATTTCACTCTCTTCATTTTCTTTTGCTTCTTGATTATTCCATTCATAAGTGTTTTAATATTGAATTTTTTTTGTTTTATATTTTGTTCTTTTTATAATTTGGTTTTGGATAAGCCTGGCTGAAAATGAGCCCCCTTGAATTGCTGGGTAAATTAGCTCTAATAAGGCCTCAAGGAGAGGAAGTTTTTAGGTTTCTGGGTATGCTTTTTGGGTTTTTAATCTAAAAGTTTTGTACAAGAGAAAGTTTTTGACAAAAATTGGTATCATTTTCAGGCTTCCTAGAAAACCTTTTGGTGTCAAGATCATGAATTGTGCAAAGAGGTGAATTTTTCCTTTCCTAGAATGCAGTTAAAGTTCACATTCGCAAGTCAAAGCATGAAGACACATACTCATGGTTGTTATCTGTTTAGGTTACTTGAAGAGTTTGTTTGAAAAACATGGCAGTGGGTTGGAAAAATTATTTTGATTTTTATCTTTTTGGTGACAATACATATCTTGGTTATTAAGCTTAAAGTTTTGTACAAAAGAAAGTTTCTAACAAGAATTAGCATCATTTTCTAGCTTCCTATAAGTGGCTGAGTCGCTTCTTTCTGGTGTCATGATTTACTATTTGTCTAGGTTACTTGTGGAGATTGTTTGGAAGACATGGCAATGGGCTGGAAATGGTCTATAATTTGTCTTGCTAGTTGATGAGCAGTCCTTCAAGTTACCATATAAAGCTTCTTACTGGAGAATAAAACTCACAGGTTAGATTTTCCTTAAAAATGGCATATGGTCTCATCATGAACAATTTTCTTCTATTCAGTTATTACTTTTTACTTTGTATGGTGGATTAGCCCCAATCTAAACTTCTGAACCCCTTCCCCAAATCTAAATCCAAATGTGTTTCAAGAGTACAATGCATCAATTGAGTACTACTAGGCTCCCTTCATGAGTCTGATTCATACCATGCAACATATCATACTGTCCTGAATGATTGGTGAATCCTGTTGCCATAGCCGAACATGGTAGGAGCTAGGAAAAAGTTGATGTGTTGGTGTTTGAGAGCTATGTCTGTTGGATGAACAAGCATAACAAGCCTTAATCAATGCTATGTTTCTAGTTTTTGATCTAATGCTATTGATTCCATCCAAATTCTTCTAGATTTTGTCAAACTTACTGCCATAGCCAAACATGGCAGGAGCTAGGAAGGAGTTGATGTGTTGGTGTTTGGAGCTATGTCTGGTGGATGTACAAGTGTAACAAGCTTCAGATAAATGTTATGTAAGTTTTGGGTTTTTGATCTAAGGTTTTGTATTCCATCCAAATTTTCTGGTTTTTGTGCTCCTAGAGCAAGATTTCTATTTGAAGATAACATTTTGGAATCCAACAGATCAATCTAAGTTCTAATTTCTTCTTGAGTTTCTTTTTCTTTTTTGTTTTGTGTTTTTTTATCAGTTATGAAATTCCTGGGATTGTTCAAGAATCTAATGTGACAACTACTATAAATTGAGAAACCTTGGTAAATTGGTTAGAATCCAACATGAGTCCTCTATGTCCCCAACACACATCTATGGAATGTTTCACTTGCTGTTTCTATTAAGAAACATCCCAAATCCCCACATTATGAAGAGTATGATAATATAGGGAGCTATCAAGTTGTTATAAACCCTCTTGATGAAGTAGAAAGAGTTAATCCTTTTTTCTTTCAAATTTATAAGATTTTTTTTTTTAATGATATGATTTTGATTATTGATCAATGATTGTGAATTTTTAGAACCCTTCAAAAGTTTTCAACTCTTCCTCCAAAACCAGTTGCTCTCAACTATGGTCGGGATGCAAATCATTATGTACCTCTTGCCACACTTACCAGACCCAGTTTTAAGGTTATTGTATTTACTTAAGTCCATCTCCATCCATGCCATCTCCCACTTGTTTTATGAAATTCAGCAGTGATTATGGTTTTTTGATTTACATTGTTCAAACTATCTTAGGAATAGCAAAGGGAAAAGAGGGAAATTGGCCATGGCAGTTGAACTTAACTAGCAATAGAAGGTATATCAAGAACATTGAACTTGCGAAATATGTAATCTTTCAAGTTTCACTCATCTGTTTCTTTTGGGATATACAGCACAAGAAGTGAAGCTGGAAAGAAGAGGATTTAAGTTTAACAAGAGTGAACTTGCATTTTATGCTATGTAAGTTTCCACTTAGTGGCTTGATTCTATTTCCTTTGATGGTCTATTAGCCTTTCATTCATGCCCTAACAATCTAGAACTTACCTTGTGACTTTTTGTTTTGTAGGTTGGCCGCCATTTGCCCTGAGTCATAATAATACTGCAAATGATATGCTGATTTATTGTCAGAAGTTGATGTATATTGCCCTTTCATCATTCTTAGGTATGCCAGCTTTTTGCATTTTCACTTTTCGTTATATATGGTTATTTTAGCCTTTTATTTGGGTAGATTATATTTATTGACTGAATACATGCAATCGTATGCATGATGTTATTTATGGTTATTAATGTCTCTATTGATATTTGTTACGAATGGTAAATGTATTTTTTTCTTTATTCAGAATTGGTTCTGTTCTTTCTCTAGAATGACATAAGTGCTACTACATCATGCATCAAAGGGGAAGGATGGAAGCCATGCGGTAATGAGAACTACTTCAACGAGACCTATCTAATCCAACAAGCATCCTACTGGGCAATTGGATCTCGTCTTGCTATCATGGAGACAGTTTGTGACATTTACAAGAACTAAAGATCAACCATTACAGTTTTGAACAAACACACAATTGTTAGAATATCAAAAAGATGGTTCATATATCTATTTATGGTGAACAGAAGCAAAAAACTCTTGACAAGAAACAAAGATTCGACCCTAAAGATTTTGCTGATTGTGTTTCCATTGGTTCTTACTAGGACTACCTAATACATGGGAATGAGATTATCTATGCATATTTGTTGAGCAGTTGGTAAAAATCTTTGTGACCTATCTTAAGTCTAAACCTCCTCTTTGGATATCCGATGGCACACTTTATTCTTGTCCGTACCCTGTACTCTCTCTGCGCACTGCTTTACTTGTTTTCTTTGGATCATTAGTTTGCTTTTACAAGTAGTCAAAAATTCAAAAAATATATTTCATTAGTTTAAATGAGTACTCAAAATTATTGGGATTGA